TGAGGTCAAAATGGTCCTGTACAAAAAGAATCTTACCATCAGCCACTGCCATTTATAAATTAATTGATTAAATAAGTAAGATTACATCAACTCCTTGCTGCAGTGTAAGGTAATTTACACCTATTAAGAAGCAAGAATTGTCCAAGTTTTTCCAATCTATTGCACAGAAGGGAGGGCTCTTTAACCTTCTGCCTTCTATTGGGGGAGATTTCAGAATATTGTCTGAAAGCAGCAGACCAACCCTGGAACTGCAGTGGAGCTGGAGCTCTGCATTTCCTAGGAATTACCAGCATCTCACCCCTGGTCACCCAGAGAACGAGCTGGCACAGTGCTTGATTGCCGTGGTCAGGAATTTTAAAATAAGTTATCTCACTGTCCCAGCTGAAGGAGGAGAGAGATCAGCTGCAGGCTCTCCCCACGCTGAACACAGGGAACAGCTGGCTCCAGGATTCACCTGGCATTCCCATGGAAGACCAGAGCAGGCCGAAGAGCTGCGAGACAGGGGGCTGAGGGAAAACAAGGGCCACTTTCCTGAGTGGTGTGTCCCTGTGTCCCCACGCCCTTCTCTCACCCCACACAGGCCAAAGTGAAGGCCAGAGTGGTTCCACCCAGCGCAGAATCAGAGAATCATGGAATCGTTCCAGTTGGAAAAAACCTTTAGGATCATCCAGTCCAACCATCAATGTTCACCACTAAACCACGTCCTCAGCTGCCACATCCACATGTTTTTTGAACTCTTCCAGGGGTGGTGACTCCACACTGCCCTGGGCAGCTGTGCCAAAGCTTTACAACTCTTTCCATTAAAAATTTTTTTCTGATACCTAATCTAGACCTTCCCTGGTGCAACTTGAGGCTGTTTCCTCTCCTCCTGTGCAGGAGGGCTGGCTGGTGGGCCCCTGCTCCCAGGAGCACCCGAGGAACACCTGACACCTCTCCAAACAGCAGCGTTTTCTCAGCTACAGTTTTGGAAGGGTTTAAGATTTTGATATTTGAGAGGCTAAGGGACAGTTTCCCTGTGCAGACTTCAGCACAGAATTGTTTGGGATTTAGCAGCAAAAGGCCCTTTGGCTCAAGGTCTGTAAAAATGAAAATCCCATTTCTAACCATCCCCTTTCTCCATGCTCACAGTTATTATAACACTGGCAGTCCCAAATGAACCCATGTGTTTTATCCCTGCCCAATCCTGACTGTAGTCAGTGCCCCAAACAAGAGCTGTGCAGTGTCACCCCGTTCTGCTCCAGGGGAGAAGGAGTTTCATAGCAGGAAAGCCAAATAAACACACAGACTTCTTGGCATGTTTGAGACAACACTTCAGACTGATTTGGCACTGATCAACCCAGCTGAGCCTAGAAGGGCCCAGTTACAAGATCCCCCTGAAACACTGGTGAGAACAGGGTACACCAAGAGTGGGGCAGCAGAACACCAGACCCTCCCACTCCCAGTCCTCTGGTAAACTGGGAGAATTTCAAGTCCCCAGAACACAAGTGTCTGGTGCTATTTGAGACATCCTGGGGCTCCAGGTGCCACCTGAGATGGGAGTGCTCCTCAGAAGGGCCCATGTCATGTTGCCAACCTCACATAAGTATCTCAGACACAATCTGACACTTAAACACTGGCAGAGGTGACACCTCCCATCAGTCCCTTCCCTACTGTGCTCCTCATCATTGTCACAGTTCTGTGTGTGTTCACTTTCCGAAAGCCTGGCAGATCCTGAGCCTCCTGTCTGCTCAAGTGATGGGCATGGGAGGTGTCCCCACACTCCACCATCGACAGAAAGCCCTTCACCTCACACACCAAAGCACATCCAGAAGATAGAATCAGAGAAACATGGAATCTGAGCTGGAAAAAACCCACAAGGATCATCGTGTCCAACGCCTGGCCCTGCACAGACACCCCAACAATCCCATCACTTTGCTGGTGCCAAAAATGCCTTCCGCGCTTTTTAGTCTCAAAGTGATTTTGTGCTGCAGAATTTCCAGGGGAACATCAGCATTCCACAGCCCCTCCTGCCACTGGCCACATGCTCTCTGCAGTCACTGGAGGGACAACCCTGAACCCCTCTGAGCAGTCTCAGACTGGCTGTTCTGTGCTTGCTTTGCCCAATTTCACCCTCTTTTTGCAGCTGTTGGAGCCATGAACAACACAAAGGACATGAAAATGGAAGCAGAAGGGCACACAGAAAGCAGACAGGAGCCTCATGCCCTGCCTCTTTTTCCCTATCTCCCATCAATATCCTACACACCTTCCCCTGTGCTTGTGAGGACAGGCACTCCTGTGTGTTTCCAGCAGCCTGGAATCAGTCAGGCACGGGAATGAAGAGCTGGCACTGGGCACAGGGAGCCTCTTCCCCTCCCTCTGCCCTCCAGGCATCTCCACTTGGAGAAGATGCTACAAGTGGCAGCTCTCCTGGCTCACCAGGTCTGCAGCAGGCAGGGGGGATGAGGGCAGCTTCCCTAAGGTATGAAGAGGTTTTGATCCCTCTCCTTCCCCTCCTGCCTCCTCTGCCATCCCTGCCTGGACACCAGCTCAGCCACTGGGTCCTGGCAGGCACAAGGGGCAAAACCAGTTTGCTACAGGGCTGGAAACAAGCTCTGTTGGCCCCACAATTAACTCCTGGGTTTCTGTCTTTTGTAGGAGCAGTCAGGATCACACTTTGGATTCATCCCACAAAAAAATCTGTACTTGCAATGCTCAGGGTGAACAAAAAGAAATCCCAGCCCTGAAATGTCTCTGGCCTGCCATGGTGAGCGTGCCATGGCCAGCAGGGACAGACCTGCTTTCATCAGGGCTCCTGAAATCTCTGTAATTCACCTGCCCTCTCTATAATTCCTGATATTATATAACCACAAGGGCTCCTGATAGGTCATTTGTTATGGCTGCAGCACAGAATTAAACAAAAATGAGCTTTAATCCCAGCAATACCTCTTTGAAATTAAAATTGAAAAAGATATCCAAAAATTACCCACTAATTCGGAGAGTTTGTCATTGTGGAGTCTTTTGGGTGTTCTGGTTCCCATCCCCCAGGTGACCAGAGGTCACACTGAGTCCCATCATCTGCCTCCTGTCTTTAATAGTGCCTGGACAGGCAGAGCTTGGGAGATCCAAACTGCCTCTGAGCCTCAACTAAACACAGGGATGGGACACACAACACAAACAATGGCTTTGCTCAGCTCCACAAGGAACTTACGGAGTTTTTTTGATCAAAACACGTCAAGTCACAGATGAAGCTGTTGCCCAGAGAAGCTGTGGCTGCCCCATCCCTGGAAGTGTCCAAGGCCAGGTTGGACAGGGCTTGGAGCAACCTGGGCTGGTGGAAGGTGTCCCTGCCCATGGCAGGGGGTGGAACAAGATGAGCTTTTAAGGTCCCTCCCAACCCAAACCAGTCTGGGATCCTGATTCTATGAAACTCTGAGTGGATGTTGAGTCATTCCCCCTGTAAAGCCCCATCTTTCAAAACCTATAAAGTCCCAGACAACCTTAGTTCTTGCACCAAAAAGCACAACTTGCTCTGAGATCCCTCCTTTGTTCCCTCCTTTCCCTGCCAGCAGCAGCAGCAGCAGCAGCAGCAGGGGCCTGCACAGGTGATTATTTCAGTTTCCTGCAGATGCACAGGCACAGATTCCGATCACTTTCAAGTGATGCCAAAGACAGATCTCTGATAGCTCTGAGTCAGGCTGATAACAGGCAAGTTTCAGCACCGCTCAGCTCATAATTACATAGTTGTGAAAAACAGATCAGTTGGCAACACACAGGAAAAAAAAGATTGGAATCCTTTGGGAAAGCAAAGACAACCCTCTGCCACAGTCCATCATGCTCTCTGCTCTCTAGGGAGGTGGCTTTGCCAGGCACCACACATGCACTTCCCAGGGAGTATCCCGAGCCTCCTGTCTGCACAAGTGATGGGCATGGGAGGTGTCCCCACACTCCACCATCAACAGAAAGCCCTTCACCTCACACACCAAAGCATATCCAGAAGTTAGAATCACAGAATCATGGAATCTGAGCCCTGCACAGACACCCCAACAATCCCATCACTTTGCTGGTGTGTCCAAACAGTGTGAAGCCCTCAAATCCCTGAGATCATCAGTCACCAGGCTGGCCTGGGAGCCCATGCTGGCCCTTCAAATGGGTTTTCAGAAATCCCTAATGGCTGCAGAACTCAACTGAGAGGGGTTACAGAGCAGGAGCAAACACCATGAAGCTGCAGTTCCACAGGGACACCATGGACACATAAGTAACCACATGGAATTTTGTGCTATTTCATTGTCACATTTGTATTCATTGTAGGATCAGGCCAAACCATGATTGCCTGAACTCTCTTGTTTATACACCAAGACAAATCCACATTGCTCCCTTCTCCCCGTGACATTAAAATTACTTGTGTCCTACAGCACAAAGTGGAGAGGTCACAACATGAGTCACCTGATAAACCCATTGACAGTGATCAGAGTGGAGCATGCAGGGGGAATCTAACATTTATCCCAATTTCCTCACACATCTTGTTAGCTGCTGAAGAGAACTCTCTTATTCCCTCTCCTTGACATTAACCAACATAAATACTTGAAGTACTCACTTACAAATAAGTGCAGGAAAGTAAAAGAATGTACTTGATGTTATTTAAATCATAGAACTGCAGAACCATTGAGTGTCCTAAGAAGGAAGGGACCCACAAGGGTCATCAAGTCCAACTTCTGGCCCTTCAGTGGCCACCCCAACAATCCCTCCATGTGCCTGAGTGCTGTCCCAACATTCTAGTTTGGCTCCAGCCAAAACTCCAGTGAAATGAGAGCATTTTCAAAGACATAACAGAAATTAAAGTATAAATGTTCTCCTTTGCCCCTCCCTGCATGTACAGTTTTGCTGTATGCTTTCAAAGTGATGAGAAAGTGCAGAGCTGTAATAGCAGGAGAACAGTATCCACAGCTGGATACTCTGAACAGTTTAAAATAATCTCCAAGCAAATAACCCTGAGAAAAAGGGAGAGGAAAATCCATACTCACCTGAACGTGATCTGCCCAATTCTCCTCAGTCATGGTTTTCTGAAAAGACAAAATTACTCCTGAGACATCCCAGAAAAGGGAGGGTGTTCCACACAGCAAACTAGAAATGAACACCATGTGGTACCCACTGGCATCACCTGTGGTCAAGGAATGCACTCGGGAGCACACGGGACACCTCAGCTGCCAGGGCACAGCAGAATGACACAGCGTGGGGGAAGCAACTCAGAAAACTGTTACATGACAGCATGTGAGACATAAAAATTCATGTGCAATATGTCCTCAGACTGCTCAGCTCTCCAGCCAGCCCATGGAGAGCCATTCCACGGGCTCCAGGAAAAGGAGAGATCTCAGGGATCCTCTGCAAGGCTGAGCATTCAGAATATTAAAATACAAACTTTTCTCAACAGCCAAATAATGAAAAATCCTCTGGAGTCATGAGGTCTGGGAAAGGAAACTGATAAGTTAATATTCCCATTCTAATGTAGTTCAGAGGCAAACTTGGGGAGAAATATGGGACTGGACCTAGGATTGGACCTACTCTCCACTCTGCCAAGAGCAGAGGCTGCGTGAGACTGACCGTGAGCCTCCGCCTTGGTGCTGGCACAGGGAACAGGGAGTGCTAGTGCCACTTTTATGGAAAGGTACAAGAGCAAACAGGGAGTAAGAGCCTCAAAGAAAACAGCTCTGAGATATACAAGCATGTAATTTAAATACTAGTGAGATAAAGGGGCCATTTAACCAGAGCTCAGACACAGCTGAGAATGGTAAACAGAGAGCACCAAAGAGCTCTCAGAAGAAGGGACTGTGTCCAGAAACAGCTGCCAAATGTACCTTAATGGAAGTAACTGGCCAGCTTGAATACTTTAAATCAAGCAAATGCTCCAAAACAAAGGAAATGGAAGGCCAGAGAGAGCAGAACCCCAGATCACGAATCCATTCCACTCTGCTAAATAAATACACCTGGATAAACGCTCTCTGCTCACTCACAGTGGATGACCAAGCTTGTTACAGTGATGTCATCCACACTAAAGATCTGAGATGCAGGAGGCTGAAATGCTCAGTCCTCCCCTGCTCTCCTGGCAGTGGGGCTGGCAGGCAGCAGAGACAGCTCAGAGCCTTCACTGATGGATCAGGAGGTCTTGGGAGTAGAAGTTGCTGTGCCAGAACGGTGTCATTGAATCAGCACCATTCAAACCCATCCTTGTGTTCCAAGTACTGAGCCTGGGGGGTCAGAAAATATGGCTGGATCTGCCTCTGCTGCCAGAGCAAAAAGGAACCCTCCTCTGAACACAGAACAGGCACTCTGGGAGAGGTGGCTCATTCCCTGGACTCTGGCTCTCTGGAGGCTGGATCACTAGTCCTGTAGGAACATTTGAGAAACCTACTGGGCTCAGATTCTGCTAAAAGCCTCCTGTATCTACAAGGAGAAAATCTTTTATGAACTGCAGATGAAAACCTGCTCTAAGCTTGGCAAATACAGTTTGGGAATTCAAAATTAAAAAAATGGAAACATTTCACTGTGATCTTCAGCCTCTTGTGGTCCTTGTCCTTCACAGTTCAGTGGATACACCTGGACACAAGTGAGAGCTGTTTTTTCCAGAAGAGGCAGAAAAAAATAAATCTGATTCTCAACTGGCATGATCTGTCCCCAGGCACAGGGTCATGCTGAAAGCCAGACCATGAGGAGAAGCACTAAACCCACCCTGTTAAGGAGATAAATGTGTTCCCAGTGCAGGAGCTCTGGAGCATCCAAAGGGAGTGACTTGGCTCAGTGCACTCACGAGTGGGGAGGAGAAACCACACTCAAGTCATTCTGCAGACAGTCAAACTCCAAGCTGCCTCCTAGAAAACTGCTTCTCAGAAAGAATTAGGGGCATTTTCCTATTCCTTCAAACCCTCAGTGCCAGCACAAGCACCAGTGGATTTGGAACAAGAATTTGGAGGCTGGACAGCAGTAAAGTCTGTTCAAAGAGTGGCTCAGGAGCTGAAAATAGGACCATTTTGTTCCACAGTAACAAGGCTGGCAGCACAAAAACACCCCTGTGGCAGGTTTGGGCCATACCTGTCCCAGCCAGGTCACAGGCAGCAAAGTGAAGTGCCTACAGAGCACCCAGACATGAGGAATGTCTAGAATCTGGTGTTCTTAAAAAAAAACGAAACAAAAACCCCACACAAATGCCCCCAAAACTCTTTATCCAGTGTGTTCCTGCTTCTTTGAGATGGCTGAGAGAAGCTGAACACTGGAGAGCCGACCCTGACCCAGAGCACTGCTGAGGGAGCTGAGGGGAAGAAGCTCCAGCCCTGAGCAACCAGGACACCCAGGCATTGGAACATGAATGGACTCACAAACTATTCACTCACAGAACAAACAGATCCAATGGCAGACCCGGGGCATCTTTATATCACCGTACTCACAGCGAAAACTTGCTCATACACATTTCAGTTATCTCAATTGTGTTACTCAAAATGCAAATGGAATGAAAATCCTCATTCAGCCCCCACACAACACAGCACATACCTCAACAAATCTCTTGTAAAAGAGGTAGTTCAGGGTTCTCAAGTGCCGCTGGTTTACGACATTAGGGCAGAGGGCTGGAAGAAGGAAAAAGACATTTAAGTACCCAACATCTCTGAATTTCCTGGAAGTTTTACTGTCTAGACATGATGCTTTTCCTTCCCCAATGTCAGACTGGGGCTGGGGAAGGCAGGATGCCCTCACACTTGGAACAGTGAGGAACAGAGCAGAACACTGTCAGCTTATCTCAACTATAAACTGTTATTTACACTTTCAACTGTGATTAGCAATGCTAATCCTCGGGTCTGATATCTCTGGCTCCACCACCCCTGAGTGATAAGATCCACCCTGTGGTTCAATATGCTCCACAGTCAATGACTTCACACCTTTAATTAGGCAGCATCCCCACATGGGCACCACGTCAGTCTCTAGAGGCTGCATTCTTCTGGGTTTAATTGGAACCTGTGCTGTTAATTCATTGAAGCCATTGTGAACAACTGACTCAGGATGTAAACTTGTGGCTAAAGTTTATCGGGTAAAACACAGATCCATGGAAGAGACTCCACATCCGCACAAAGAGGGTGGGGACTATTGTTTTGCTGAGCTAGCAAGCCACACTTGTTGATAATATATTTATTGCTGTCATCTTCATTAGATATGGCTCATTACAACTGCAAAACCCGAGATCTTCACACAGTGCCTGGTTTTGAAATCCAGTGCAAGGAGAGATAAAGGCAGGAGATAAAATACATGAAGTGGATTAGCATAGGTATCTGTTCCTGTTGGATGCTGGGATGGATGAACAGGGAAAGGCTTAACCAAAGCCTTCCATGGGGCTTCAGTGGCTAAAACCATCCCACTGGGAGCCAGCAAAAGCAGAAGTGGTCACAAAGAGCAGGAAAGTGAAAATTTTCTGCAGCTTCCCTTGAATCAGAGTCCACAGGGAGAAACCAATTCCTTATCCCTCTCCGTGTCCCACACAGGGCATGCCCAAGGATTATAAACCAGCAGAACAAAGAAAGATCTCTGGATACCAGACCCTGGGATCAGAGGGTGATGGGTTGATGTCCCACTAGATACAGCAACTCCTCAGAGTCCCCTGAAGCATCACCTCAGAACGTGAACATTTCCATCTCAAACATAAAAAGTTAAAGCTGTTATTTTTAAGTTTATCTTCCACAGTGTGACAACCGATCCTTACCCTCCAAGGATCTGAGGAAATTATTGCAACTATCACACAGGATATTGTCCCAGTAAATATGGTGATCTTTCCTCTGGATATTATCCCAATATCTGGAGGAAAAATCACCAGCTCATGGAAAGCAACACTCTCTAAAGAACATAAGATCAAGGTAAAAATTAGTAACATTACCATCTAACTCAGGGACTTCAAAGCACTTCAGAAAGAACCATGGCATCACTGCTCCAGGCCACCCAAAAGATCCACTGAATATTTTTTTCTTTGAGCTTCTAGAGGAAATATCCAAAGCAGAAGCTCTGGCAGAACTGGGGGTTGCAATGGCCAGCTATCTGTGTGGGAGGGACAGAGGAACACAGGTGCACTGGAAGCATGTTTGAAGGCACTAGTGACACATTTTATTCTGATGAAGCAAGTGAATTGAGTTTGACTCTGGTTTTCTGTACTTTATTACAAAATATAGAGAAGGACTAATAAAGAATACAAGTACAGGCTGGATAGAGAAGGGATTGAGAAAAATCCTGGGGAGAAGGATTTGGGTGTGTGGGTGGATGAGAAGCTCAACATGCCCTGACCATGTGTGTTGGCAGCCCAGAAACCCTCCTGTCCTGGGCTCATTCCCCAGTGTGGGCAGCAGGTGAGGGGGGATTCTGCCCCTCTGCCCCCTCAGGTGAGACCCCCCTGCAGAGCTGCCCCAGCCCTGGGGCACCAAGACAAGAAGGATGTGGAGCTGCTCTGGAGTCCAGAGGAGGCCACAGAGATTCTCCAAGGGCTGGAGCCCCTCTGCTCTGGAGCCAGGCTGGGAGAGCTGGGGGGGGTTCAGCTGGAGAAGAGAAGGATCCAGGGAGACCTGAGAGCCCCTTCCAGGGCCTAAAGGGGCTCCAGGAGAGCTGGAGAGGGACTGGGGACAAGGGATGGAGGGACAGGACAAGGGGGAATGGCTTCCCACTGGCAGAGGGCAGGGAGAGATGGGATATTGGGAAGGAATTCTTGGCTGTGAGGGTGGGCAGGCCCTGGCACAGGTTGCCCAGAGAAGCTGTGGCTGCCCCTGGATCCCTGGAAGTGTCCAAGGCCAGGTTGGATGGGGCTTGGAGCAACCTGGGCTAGTGGAAGGTGTCCCTGCCCGTGGTAGAAGGGGATGAACTTTAAGGTCCCTTCCAACCCAAACCAGTCTGGGATTCTATGGAAAATACAAGGGTGAATGGTAACTTGCTAAGAGAGACAATAAAATGAAGAGATCAAAGCTCTTAAGGAAAGGAAGAACAACAAAATAAACCCAATAAAATGGACTTCAATAAACTCAGAAAACTGGATTTCATGTGGAAATCATTTATGAGGGAAAAAGGAGTTAAGAGCTGACAAAGGAAAAATTGGAAGTGAAGAGACTTAACTGCTAAAGCAAAAGCTTTTATGGACCTCAGTCACAAGGAGGTTAAAAGAACATGAAAAATGGATCACACACATACAAGTCAACAGCAGAAACACAAAAAATCACAAAACCCAAAGTAAAACACAGAATGTTTCAATCAAAAGCTACAAAGTCAAGAGAAATTCCACACAGCCTTTTGGAGGAAAAAAACAACCACAACCCAGCAAAATCTAATGCAAGGGAAGAACATATGGCACAGGTGGCACTGCAGAGCCTTTGCCAGACCTTGCCCTGAGCTTTCATGATCACCTGCAGAAATCAAAGTGCTTCAGGACACAGCACCTTCCTCAAGGTCAACCCCCCAGCTGGGGAAGCAGGAGTCTGAGCCCAGGTCTCCTGCACCCCAATCAATGTCCTGCTGGTCAGAGCAAAGACCTTGTGCTAAGCTTTCCAGAACAGGGACCATCCTCTTAGTCAGTGTCTGTCCAACGGGGTCATGACTGGCTTGTGGAGCACTGGTGAAATATAAATGGTTTAACACCATGAAAGCAACTATTTGGACATATTAACTCTTAACCTGGTAGCTGCACCACAACCATGTTCATCTGAGATACATTTCACACCTGGGCCTGACTCAGAGGCCAAAGCCCCAGTCTGCTCTCAGCCCTTGGCAGAGTTAATGGTCATGAGCAACCCAGACAGAGCAAAAATGAAATCTCTTTGTCCCACAGGTCAGACCCACAGCCCACACTGATAGCAGTCGTGCAAGATGGGTAAGATGTGTCTACTGTAGACATGGTGCAATATATTTTTAGGTGTGGTGGGTGGTATCACTCCCAGGAGATACCAATGCCTCCTGAGCTGGGACAGGGACCCAATCCTCTCTGTCCACAGCCCCGAGAGCTTCCATTCACAACGAGACTCCTTCTCCCTGTCCTGGCAGAACAGCAGGTCCCACACACAGTGTACTTGGTTTGGGGGCAAACTAAAGGAGCCTTCAGGATAAAATCAGGGTATCTGATATCCCTGGTATTGCTAAGGATTGCTGGGGAATCTGAGGAGCAGCAGTCAGTGCACTGGGCTCTCGCTGTGTTATGAGATTAATCCCTAAATGAGAATTAGGGGAGGACAGGGCTGCAGTCAAGAAAACGTCTTCTTGTTGTAGCCTGAAAGAAGCATCAGGGTCTCATCAAATGCTCAGTGGCACCATAGCTCAGGGCCCACGGCCCTCATAAAGGGGGTGACATGGCAGAAGCCCCAAACTCCCTCTCAGATCCCTGAGCTACCTGCTGGCTGTGCTGCCTGGAGCGAGAACAGAGCACAGTACAGGGGTGTGATCCACACCTAAAGGAAAATATGCCCTAGTGTACCCTGAGACACCATGTGGATATGAGGAATTCATGCTCAGAATAGCCAGGATGGGGATAGCTTTTCCACAAAAAAGCTTGGAGCTCCTGGTCAGCATGTCAGGGCCTAGAGCAGGTCATATCCTACTGCCTGCTCTTCAGTCTGAGGGCCTTAGAAAAGACTGGGGCACATTCCATCCCCTCCTCCTTCAGCACCTTGGCCCTGCAGCCTCGGGAATGGGGCTCCTGCCTGCCAATGTCCCAGCCTGGAGGTTCTCCTCGGGCACAGGGTGTGCAGAGTTGGGCTGGTGTTGAACACCTGAGTTAAAACACTCCAGAACAGCACATGGAAGTCAGGGAAAAAAAGAGAGGGAGGGGAGAGGAAGGGAGCAGAGGAGAGGAGAGGAGAGGAAAAACCTTCTGCTCTGTTTTAGCGAGGGAAAGGTAAAACGTTGAAATTTCATCCTTCCAAAGGCATTCCTGTTGAATTGCATGAGTCATTCCCTTTTTTCTAACTCAGCATCTTTGGAAAGTGCCCCCCTGGTGACTGCCCTGCCACGTGTGTGCAGGTCCCCAAGCCCTGAGGAGGTGTGAGCTGCGGCTCACCTGGGCACATGTGGGGCTGTGAATTCCCAGTCCTGCCTCACCTGGGCACACGTGGGGCTGTGAATTCCCAGCCCTGCCTCACCTGGGCACGTGTGGGGCTGTGCACAGCCCTCTCCTGCCCTCTGCTGCCCCGGCCCCGCCTGGAGCGCGGCAGCCCCGGTGGGGGGTGTGTGTGTGTGTGTGGGGAGGGGGGGAAGGGGGTCACACAAACGGAAATCACTTGTTGAAACAAACGGATAACCCAGTGCTCAAGTAAAAGAAACATTTCTCTTGGTTTATACTAAAAAATCTTTTAAAGACTGTGGTAAAAGCACAGAGCATTCAAACCTTGAGGCGCTCAGCTCACCTCTCACGCTGCTACAGCACAAGCACTTCCATTAACTGGGCACTCAGTCCCCATCTGTCTCCTCTCTGTCACACTGCTGTTATTTGCTTCATTGGCACAGAGGCATCAAGCCCAGTATCTGAGATTATCACACTTCTCAGAGCAGGATCATTTCTACTTCAAACCCCAGGAACTGTCAGTGAAAAACATCCCTGAACTCTCTGCATGTCCCAGTTGTGCAAAACCACAGCAGAGAACAGATTCGACCATGTCAGCCCTGGGAAGGGGCTGCTCCCTCACCTCTGAGATCTGTTTTGACTGAAACTTGTGTTTGTGAAGTCAACCTCACAGGGTCTCCAAAGAGTATTCTGCAATTAGCTTGAAAAAGCTACAGGCTCGTTAAACCAGAGCACGCTGACCCAGGTGTGAGGAAAGACTCTATAAACCTCAATTTCCTCAATCACATACCACTTCTGCCCAACTCCTTCCTTCCCCAATAAGGGTAATTAAATGGAATCCACACACATTTTATTGGGACACCTTTGGGACTCGGCAGAAAATCTCCCACTTACCACACCCTGTTTGTGAGTTAACAGGAACATAGCTCTGAAAAAGCAGAGGAGGACTAATCAAGGAGGATTCCACATCTTTTTTTTATATTGGGCCACCTCCTGTCCAGCTCTGGAATGTAAGGCTGGCAGTTCCCAGGAGTGTTTCAGATCCCACTGGCTGATGGACACCTCAGCCTGGCACTCAGTGTGATTTACAGGGAGTGGGCAAGAGCGAGCTCGGAGAGTGAAATCTGAAAGTCAATTTGGAACTGCAAGAACTGAGTCACACACAAGTCTGCCTCCTCATACCCAGAAACACCATCCTCCAGCTCTTCTCACCAAAGCCACTTCCCTCTCTGCTACTGCTCCTCTCAGGCTCCCACAGCCAGGAGTCACAGTGAGGAGGAGACTGAAAACAGCAGCAGGAGCTGCGGCACCAAACGAGCCCCCAGTCAGGTGAGGTGACAAGAGGTGACAAGAATTGTGAGTTCTACCTCACTGCAAGCTTTTGGGGAAGCTGCTTAGAACAAGAGTCACGAGGGGTTCTTTCATCTGTATGTTTTGCCCAGCCTGCTGCCTTCTTGCACACTATTTCATCACAGTCAGACCTGCTTCCACCAGAGAACAGAGAAAGAACACTCAGAAATTCAGTAGAGGGGAGGGGAGAGGTGGGAAGACAAGGAAAGCCACATTGTTCCAGCCAGCATTTCCCAATTCAGTTCCAGCATGACCAGTACTAAGGCAGCAATTCCTCTGCAGGGCATTCATCCCTTTCCAAAGCACTTCAAAGGAGACTGACAGCCACAGCTCAGCAAAGTGTGAATTGTTGCTCATAACTGCATGTGATATTATGCAAAAAATAAACACCAACTTTCACATATCGCACTATGACAGTTATCCAGTGCTGCTTTTACCTGCCCAAAGTCCAAACCAATTATCCACATCCCCTCTCACTTCAGAAGGGGTGGGCAGGGACTGACCCTGCCCTGCAGACACTGCAGTTTGCATGGGATAAACGTCTGGAAGGGCAGGCAGGAATGGGATCTGTATCTGCCTCGAGGAACCTCCTCACCAGTGAATGGTTGGGGAGGACCAGCAAGATTTGGCCATTATTATCAGCAGCTACAACATCTGGAAACCACCAGCAGGTTGAAGCAGACTGCATCCCACAGAGTGCACCTGAGACCCATACCTACATGCTCCTCTCCTGATTTTTCTTTTCTTTAATTATTATTTCTCAGGATTTTACATGTGAACAGTTATATTATTTAACCTCTACTGTTATATCATACCCTTGGCAGACCTTTCATAAGGAAAGGGGAACAACTCAACTCCCTTTACAGATCATCAAAGACAACACAGTTGACTGAATGCCCAACCTTGTCAAGGAGGAAAAATTACTGAAGACTAGTGAGCTCCTGGGAAGGTTTTAATTTCTAAATAAATCCCCCTCATATGTCTCAGCTTTCACAGCAATGTGCTATGTTTAATTATATACACTTCTACTCCAATGAAGGTTTGCAAGGTTTAACGTGTTAACTTCTGAACACCATTCTGAAGATGGGAAGATTAATATGCAATAGTGTTGCTGACAGGTGTAATAAGCCCACAATTTGTGGTTAGAGAACACTTTCAGTGCAAGAAAAGAGAAGTGCATATCTTGGTTTGATGATGGAGACTCTGCAGGGTAAAAGCTAAGGGTGCACCTAAAGGGGTCTGATGCAAGGTCCTAAAGGGAAGGAAAAATCAACAGTCCCTGCTAACAACCAAAGCAAAGCAGATTTTGTGAGGGAACTGATATCTGCAGGTGAAGCAGATCTGTTCAGTGACAGAGAATGTGCTACTTTCAAGGCTGCAGGAGCCTTAAAATTCCCTACCACCAACCCTAGTTTATACAAAGAATACAAAGGGCTCTGAGGCTCCTGCTTCCCAAGGGTTATCTCCTCCCAGCTGACGGACCCGGAGCTCAAGAAAACAGATCCCCAGTGAATAATGACTTGCCTCTTATGTGAGAGGAATGGAGTCATAACTCAGAGCTGACCATGGTGTGTTTATGCAGAGCCATGCTGAGGGCAGGATTTATTTCATATCATGGCAGAAACAGTTTATTAGTCACCAGCACTTCATTCTTAGACAGCACAAAGTGATAATTCCCATAACTTACCAGCTTTGTTTCTCAGGATCATTAATTAAACCCTGAAACTCCCCAAGATAAATGGCAGCAGAAATTCCTTGATGAACACGGAAGAAGACAAATTGACTTTGTGTGTTCTTTATTGCTGACATAACTCCACAACATGTTGCAATATCCCGTACCTGGATCTACGTGGAATCGGTCCAGGAGCCTGAAGACCAGCTTGCTGAGTGTTCTGTGGTTAAATTTTTCTGGTTTGTATCTGGACAGGCCTTGATATGGTCTGTAACAACATCAGAAATACATACCTGTGGCATCACCTAAAGGATGTTTCCCAAATAGCAGATATATAACAGCAGAGGGATTGGGGTTTGCTGGTGTTGGTAAGGCCAAGGCACAGCAAAAGGCCAACAGTATTACCACACAAATTTCAGTCAGTGACTGAAGCAAGTCCATAGGTTCATTTTAAAGAAAGCGAGCAATTCCTTCTAATCTCTTTTTCAGAGCTAAGCCTGCAACTATTGCAGCTACACCATGACTCTGACTGTGCTGCTGGCTCTGTGACTGACAGGAGTTATTCTAGTGAGAGGCAGGTCAGAAATTAAAACACACACCACCATTTGACAAGCACATGAATGTTAACCACTTGCATCTCTTGTTTTTCTGCCACTTCATCACAGCATTATCTTCCTTGCCAAACCTGTACAACCGATACTGACTCACCCTTGTCTGCAGCAAGGCACAAGAGGCTGATTGCTCCAGCCTCCCTGTGATCTGTTCTGTTCCTGTGATGTGCTGCACAGCTTTCACTGCACTCCTGCTCCTGCAGGAATGGAGCATCTGTCAAGAGCAACAACTCCTCTGTCCTGGGCCGGGGCACTTGAGAAGGCTCTGGCACAGACACCACAATTTCCCCTTTCTCAGCTAAAGGTCAGGATTTTGCACTGCCTTATGCTGGGACATGACTGCAGACAGACAAGCAGGGAGCACACAGTGCTCTGGCAGCACCTTGGCCCCTGCTCAGAAACACAAGTGTTTCTACCTTGTGACGTCTCTGATGTTGACACCAGGATCACACCATGAGTCCAGGATCTGCAAGAGCTTCCTCTGGAGCTCAGGATATTCTCCCACATAATCTTCCACCACATTAGCTTTATCCTGGAGCAGCAGTGGGATGCACATCTAGGAGAAGAAATGACCTCTGATCGCCACAGAGCCACAGAAGGCACGGAGAGGGTCCATGACTAAATCCTGTCCCATTCCCTGCATCCCACACACAGGGAGCAAGTCCCAACCCCCTGCTTAGCCCCCCAGTGCTGCCTATGAGAGTGCTCTGATGTTTTCAACACAAATATTAGCAAAGCTTCAATGTAGTAAAAGCACTGACCTCCATCCCAGTGCTGAACACAGCAAGGATTTGTTGTAACAGAGGCTGCAGCCAGAAACACAGGGCAGGAGGCCAGAATGAGGTCTAACAAAATACACTCTGTGCCTAACCTGGATGTAAAGGTACATCATCAGTGCAACTGTTACTTCTTGGGAATGAAGTAAAGCCTCAACTGAAAGGCAGCATGACTTGGAGGGCCCTGATGGATGTCCTGCTGAACAAAAGGTAGATCTGATGATAGAGGAGCCTGCAGAGGAAATGACTCACCTTTTCCACATCTTGATCTGGCTGTAATTGCAGCTTAATACTCAGTATGGCTGCCTAGAAAATATAAATAAAAAAAGGTGTGTATTTAGAAGAACCTCACAGTGGATAAATGGGCTATTATACACATTTTTAATGTGTTAATTATTTCTGTTACATTGTCAAGAACAAATCCTGCAAACATTTGGTCACTTCCAAATGTACAAGAGCACTCCTGGCAGAGCTGCATATCATGATTAGCAACATCTCCTGGAGCAAAAATTAAAGATCACGTTGTCAGGCAGGCAGAGAGAAAGTGAAGCACTTGGACAAAACCAGCTGAGATGGCTACTTCCCATCAAAACACCTGACCCAGTACACCTTTCTGAGCCTTTGAAATTCTGTAAAATAGTTGGATTTTGTGAAAGCAACTCAAGATTTCAAACACCCTGAAATCAAGAGGTTTCAGTTTTCCCAATTCCTGTGTCGCCCCACACCCCTGAAAACACCAAGGGTCACCACAGGCAGCAAGATGGGAAGAACTGTATTTCTCCCTTTGGTGGGATTTCCAAATCTTTCATAAGCCAAGACCTACCACATTCACAAATTGCATCCAAATCAGGATCTTCTGCAGCAAGGAACCTGCTGGGGTGAACTGCAGGAACTCAGGCTCAGGAGAACTGGTTCAGCCTGTCCCATCCCAGCTGGGGATTAGGGGAGTGGATGAAGCTCTAACTGTGCACTGCTTGGGAGCCACAGACACCAATTAGGATTTACAGTAGTTAATACTGTCTAATTTCTGAAGTGTGTAAGAACACCTGGATCTCAAATACACAAAAGCACATAGTGGGTTGCTTTAACACAGTGCACTGTGCCAGTAACTGGAGCAATAAGGGCAAGGAGCCTTTGACACTCTGTGTGTGTCTCAGTGCTGAACTGGGAACAAGGCAATGAGGAGGATTTACAGAAGTGTCCTTCTGCTTTGCAAAGTGAGGCTGTATTTCCCAAACGGTTCTAAGCAGTGTTGAAAACACTAACCCTGCCCCCTGAGTTCACAAATGCCTGTTTATTCAAATATGGATAAAACCAGTGTGGTAGGGCTTGGAGGAAAAGCTCTTCTCTTCCACAGATTTCTCTGCTCTCTGTGATGGATTTTGATTTGAGAGAAAGATCAGGAAACTTATGCATTTGTCAAAATATTTGCATTTTAGAACTGTGTTATTTGTTCAAGTGTAGAATCATAGAATGGTTTGGGTTGGAAGGGGTCTCTAAAGACCATTTAGTTCCAACCCCCCTGCAGTGAGTAGGGACAACTTCATCTGGATCAGGGTGCTCAGAGCCTCCATCCAGCCTGACCTGGAATTCTTCCAGGAGTGGAGTATCCACAGCTTCTCTGGGCAACCTGTGCCAGTGCTCCACCACAGTCACTGTAAAAAAATCCCTTATATCCCTTATATCTAATCTAAATCACCTCTCTATTAGTTAAAAACCATCACCCCTTGTCCTACCACTGCAGGCCCTGCTAAAATGTTTGTCCCCATCTTTCTTATAGGCCCCCTAACATGTGAGCAAACATAATGCAGTAACAGATGTGCCTTTCCCCAAGGAAACACAACCCCCACCATTACACATCACATGCATGAAACCTTTCTAGAAAGATTTAACCAAAGAAAGTACCCCGAGTTGGGGCAGGCACACACCTTGAAATCCATTTTCTGTGATCCCTCCCAGCATTTGAGTGACACCTGAACTCAGCCCACCACTGGCAGCACATGCTCTGCAGAGCCAGCCAAGCCCCAGACACCTCACAGCTCATCTGAGCCTTGCTCACGGCACAAGCCATGGATTATGTCACTTTCTGGGGAATTCATGCTTGTATTTCATCCACTGCACCACAGACCAGGAGTGTGCAAAAGCAGAGAACCACTACACATCATGGAAGTCCAGCTGTTAAATCCTTCTGTCCCAGTCAGCAGCTGGAAAACATTAGTTTTTTATGTTGGATTTGGGTTTGGTTTTGGGGGGTTTTAGGGGAGTTTTGGTTTTTTGAACACTGAAAGTCCAGGCTTCATCCCCAAAAGAGAAATCAACAGAGGAGCTTTAAGTGACAAAAGCAGGAACCACCATTAATGCAGAGACTGCTACAAACACTGAACAGAAAGGTACATGAGCATCGCTCAGCCCAACTAAACCTCAGCCAAATTTTTTACTCCAGACTATTCCACCTCTTAGAGACCAACAGCTCCTCTGCTCCACAAGCACCAAGTTCCTTTTCTCAACTTATCAGAGTAACATCCCAAAGTTCAAAGTTCATTCTCCACTGTAGACTGATTATTCTCCACTTGTAGACAAGGTGAAGGGTGCTACTTCTGGTTTGGACCTGAAGAAGGGGCTTGGGTCTCCAAAGCTTTGGCAGCTGGTTTTGTTCCCCCCCTTCCCCCTCAGAGCTCCTCAGTTTGCTGAAATAAAAGAAATAATTTTAAAAAAAAAGACTTGCAACTCTCCAAACCTTGTTGAATTCACCATCTGATCTCCTGAGCACCTTTACTGTGCCATTACCTTTAATGTGCAATATCCAGCGGTTCCCTAATGGCTCTTTAATGTTCAGATTAACCTAATTGCAGCCCTGTTATCTAAATGGCAGAGCTTTATCTCCAGCTCTATTAACTGTACAGGTGACTTAATCAGATGAACATGCACGGTGTCAAGTTGGGCTTTCCTCTTTTCCTGGTTGGATATTCCAGCCTGTACCAAAGGGTGGAGATGTAGGTGTAGATGTTGATTTGTCCAGAGCATGGAGAGCCCTCACCTTCCCACCCCAGGGCTGGCACACCCAGCCCCACCACGCCGGGGCTGGAGGACAGAGGAACTTCAAGCAGAGCATGCACAGATTCATGGAATCCCTAAGGTTGGAAAAGACATTTAAGTTTACCAAGTTCAACCATCAATCCCTCACCACCACCATGTTCACCACTGAACCACGTCCCCAGGTGCCACATCCAGATGTTCTTTGAACAGTTCCGGGGATGGCGACTCCACCACTGCTCTGGCAGCTGTTCCAAAGCTTATATAAAACTGCTTTTTAACAGCAATTTAACATCCTCCAGCTCAAGGCAGGGATGGAGTAGCCAGACCAGTTGTGCTGCTGGTAGAACCTTCCCTCAGCAGGGAACACCAGCAGCCTTGTCCACGCCTGGAACTGAACGTGGAGGAAGCAGCATGACCTGGGCCCCGGGAACAAGCACCAGGCTGGATCGCAGGGTGCAGTTACACGGGCTGGCGGCCCAACAGGGAGGACGGGAGAGATAACATCAGCGTGTTTACAATGGGAATAGTAAGAGAAGAGATATGAGTAACTGTAATAAAGATGAAAGCGCTTGGCAGCTGTGTCAGTGGTCTCAACTTCGAGCTATTTTAGGATTTTGTTTTGTTATTATCGTGTTTTGAATTGTTGCACTCCACAAACAAGTTTTGTGTAAAACGACCCTATTTTTAACAGTCTGTTTATAGCTGATAAGATCTCCTGCAAAGCAACACCTCATTCGCAGGCTCATTTTGTAGTCAGAAAACAAACACTTCAACGAGGCTGCAATGAAGGGGTGAGAATCCCCCTCCCCACCCAGACCCAGCATTCCCCACCTGCAGTGCTGCACTCCAGGCTGGGCTGGAAGGTGAGCCAGGGCAGCTGGAAGGTGGCAATCCCATTCACCCAAGTGTAGACCCTCAGGCTGCATCAGCGGGGCGACACAAATCCTGAGCAGCGACACAAATCCTGGGCGACACAAATCCCTCCCCTCTGCACCAGCTGACCATTAGGAGCAAAGAATCGAGCTAGGATGCAGGAAAGTGGGGAAGCTCTGGGAATGCTGAGATACTGGCAGCTTATCAGGGTCTACTCACCCCCTCAAGCTCCACAGAGAATGTGTTACTGTCGTGGCTGGTGGTACAGGGAGCCCTCTCACAAAAATACATTTCATACACAGAGAGTTATAGCAGGTAATCTAATAACAGCAATAATTAGAGTTATTGCTGCACCTAACAATATTCAACCTGTACTAAAACCCCTGGTGACAACAAACATGGGGAAGGCTGATCCCTCTCCTGCCTTGAACCCCCAGGTGTACACAGGAGAGGTACATGATGAAGCCACTGCTTAGTACAGGAGGAAAGCTGATGGCCCGATGCCTGATCCAGATTCCTGTCAAAGCTCCCAAGTCTTCTCATTTTGGGTCATTCTTTCACTTAATGATGGTGAAAGCAAAAATCCTGTTTGGACACTTTGCAATAGTTTAGTCTCCCAAGGACAGACACCTAAAATACAGCAGAGGGCTGGCTGAGGCCGGGGGAGATTCACAGCTACACTGAATTCTACCTAACCCGTGTGTAGGTGCAGTGACCAAAGGAGGGGGGAAGTTTCCCAAACCTGACATGTCGAGGCCCAGTCATGAGCACCAGCCCACTCCTCCTGTCACGCGATTGCAACACCAAGAGAATGGGAAAGTGGGGAGTGTTCTGGGCTGAATGCAGGGCCCAGAGCACCCTGCACCAACAGCTGATCCTCTCGGCTTGTTTTGAATGCAATTGGCTCTGTCTCATCTAAAAATGACTATTTTTCCACGTACAGCACGAGGTGCAGGAAGCCACACAAGATCTTATCTGCAAGGGCATGTGCGTTTGGGTGGTGTCTACACTGACAATTTAGGCAATTTTCCCACAGTGGGGTTCACATCAGAAGAACAACCTCTTCAGTAGAACTGCTTGGAGTGGTGATGCACGACAGATACCAGTGGTTTCTGATGACTCCTGTGTTACTTAGCTCTGCTTGCAAGCTGGGACAGCACAAGGGTCAGTAAGTCTGTGCCTGACTTAGTGCACTATTTCTGAACCAACGGCAAATGAATTTCTGAAAACCCATAGAATAAACCAAACAACAGAACCAGACTTTGCAGAGGAGGATCCAACCACCAGGAAAATCACAGTGATCAAAGCTCGGATAATGGCAGAAATAACTGAGTAAAAGGCACACCAGGTATTAATCATCGGGCACATCTGGTTTGTGTTTTGGAATCACTCATTTC